GTCAATCGGAGAATGCTTAAAACATTACTGGAATTTCGAATCAAGTTGTGAATTTCAAATAGTTTCAAATCAAAGTTACATTATATTTGTATGTTATAGAAAAAAACGAATAAAAAAAGATTTCTTTATCTAAAAAGCGAGGTACTCCATTATATAAAATGAGCCATAAACGATAATGCGGTAGTGTTCAAAAATTAACTTACAATCATCAAAGCAATTCGTATCCAAAAATCGATTCAGTAGCAAATTCTGATTTGAATTTCTTTTATAACACGGACAAGGAAACAAGTATATTTATTCTCTGCTGTATGTTATTTATATGTTATGTATGAACATATAATAGTTATCGTATTCATATATATATGTAGTTTTTTATATTATTTGCTAGTTAGTATTTTATGTAAAAACATAAAGATTTTCACTTTTATATCTTTTTATACAAACGGAGTACACGAATGATCTGACTTGAACTTCGTCAAACTCTTACAGAATTTTACCCGTCTTTAAAAAGTGATTCACACAGTGTTGCACTCTGTAATACTGATTCTATGATTTTTTAATCTGTACTATGAAAGGTACAAATTTGTCGTCTGTTTCGCGCCTTTTATGATGATAGAGGAGAAGAATCGATAAGTTTCGAAAGTGACAACGTCTGTTTCATTGTATGTGACGATTCATATACACCAGTATGCACGCGACAGTTTTAGATGCTGAGTCACCATGCAAACGGAACGGCATTCGGACATATCGATTAATCTGTCGACGTTCTTTTTGAAGAATATTGGCCTATGGATAGCCGTGGATTCGGCGGAAAAACGTTGGATGAAACTGATGCTCGTCTTCACAACATGGAATTCGATGTTCGGCTCAGTCATCATTCTCAGAGACTTGTATTTCACTTTATTGTACAAAGGCGTGAGTATTGCTCAATTTAATAAAATATGTTTAATGAAATTCCACGCGTTATATTGTCGCATAACTAAGTGTAATGTTCTAAATATTTAACCTATCACGTTTCCAAAAACGAAACAAATACCAATATTAGGGTGTTTTAAAAAACCGGTGGTATGACGAACTGAATTTGAAAAATAATTTGGATGGGTACAATACAGCAATTTCCGTGAAAATATGACTAAATGATGGATTTCGAATCTATTGTTATTATCGTGCAGGTTTTTACGTATTCGTGGGAAATTTAACGTTAGAGAAGTATAAAAGAATACAAACATTTCAACATAAAAATATACAAAGTAACAAAAATGAAGTATTTGTTGTAATATTTATGAAAACGAATTTCTACTTGGTCCTCCATTTTTCTACTTTCAATAAAAATTCACTGTCTGATAATTACTAATAAATAACACCACTGTACGATGTATTTTCAAGATGTACGAAAGAAACGAAAATGTACTAACTTGACAGGTTAAGCATGTTAAACGTTATTAAATCATTGTTACTAAACGTTATTATTAAATTATCTATAGAAAAGATACATGCATACATTTGACTTTTCCATGCTGTTTTTCTATACATAGAAATCATTTCCACATTTCCATCCTTCGTATATATTTAATAAATTAAAATACAAATACAATGCACATACGTGCAATAATCTAAATTGCTCGTGCTAGGTAATAATTTGTTTGATTTCAATTATTAATATAATTAAGCCGTTCACGTGGGATATATAAGACTATATTTATTTAAAGAATACGTAACAATTCATTGCAGGATATTCTTTATGTCATTACTAACTTGTTAACCGTGGTAATGGGTTTACTCAAGATATGTATCATACTGATGCATAAAAGCGAATTTTTAAATCTGATCATTTACATGCAACAAAATTTCTGGAATGTCGATTACGATTTTCGTGAGAAAGAAATATTGAATAATTGCAAAAGAACTTGTGCCTTTTTCGTCTCCTCTGTCACCAGTATTGGTATATGCGCTATGATGTCTTATGTAATAACACCGATTCTTGGTAGGTTCTTAAAATATTCTATTTGCATATACGATTAATGTGCTATTTTTAATAGTGTTTGTTATTTTTTTTTTTTTTTTTGTGTATATGACGGCCTTTGTACAAATACTATAGAGCATAAAATGCCATAAATTTCTATTTCACATACATGTGTTAAGAACATTTTAAAATTTAAACAATCTTAAAGAAAAGAATTTTGGTTCGACATTACCATAGTAAAGTTTAATAATTATACATACTAACTAATATTTCTCCACGTCAAAAAATAAAAAATTTGATAAACGACACCTTTATATACATTAACAATGTATTTAAAAAATGAAGATAAAACATTCGGATGTTCGTTGCAGAAAATGTTGGAAAAAATCAATCCGAAAGAATATTTCTGTTCAATGTGTGGATAAATTTACCATTGTACCTATCTCCTTACTATGAGATATTGTTTGTTATCCAGGTATTTTAAATTCTCATTATGCTTGCATTTATCGTCTTGAACATACTGTAAAATTATATTGGGACATTCGTGAAACAAAATTTAGCATAATTTTAAATTTGAATGTAATACTAGCTCAGAATCCTCAACTTTCTATAAATTTATAGAAGCCTTGATTTGGACGACATACAGAGCGTCCTGGATTTAAATGTCTAATGAACTTAGATGTTTTCTTCTTCGCGACTCTGTATAAATATGTATATAAAAATATCTTTCCTAACTTTGCAATAGATTTCATACACTGTAACAAAGGGAATAATAATTTCTTCCTGGTACAGGTAATATGTCTGTATTACGTAGCCGTTTGCTATTTTTGCTTCGACAATATTTTCTGCATCCTGGTTGTACATTTGGCTGGCCAGTTTCGCATACTTCGATACAGGTTTACAAAATTGTGTAACCTGGAACATGAGACAAGCGAGGTGACGTTAATAAAGCACGCGTACGAATTTTATGAGAAACTGAAAATGTACATTCGACATCATCAGCTATTGATCAACTATTGCAAGAAGCTTGAAACCGTGTACACGATGATTATATTTGGCCAGGTGTTGGTGTTTAGCGTGTTAATTTGCCTGTTTGCTTATCAGGGGCTCTTGGTTGGTATTTACACGCTATCATGAATTTCCATTAATGAAATTTTGTTTCCATTATTGAAATTTCGGAATATCTTAATGAACAATATTCTCTCAGGCTGCTGCTCCTATAGCGAGACGCGCCATCTTCATATTTCTTTTAATCGGCTCAATGGCTTTATTGTTTATGTTCACCTATGGTTGCGACGGCGTGATAGAACACAGCGACGAAATTGCTTTAGGAGCATATTCGGCTTTGTGGACGATCATGCCAATGAACAAATCTGGACGAATGCTCCGAAACGATTTAATACTGGTGATTGAACGATCAAGACGTGTTTGTTGTCTAACCGCAAACGGATTTTTCCCCATATCGTTGGAAACTTACACTACGGTAGATATCATTCGGAGAATAGGAAATCTCGGTTCTACTAGGAAATTGTAATTTCCATTTTTCTGAACAAGAAAAAGATTCGCTTATCGAATTTTACAGATTCTGTCTACCGCAATGTCGTATTTCACGTTGTTAAGGAATCGTTTGGAAAATACTGACGACTAATATAATGTCCCATCAGAGAAATATTCGAAGAAAATTACATGCGGTTGTATTCAACAGAGTTTTGTAGCTATAAAAAGAAAATAAATAAATGGAAGGAAACTGTGTAACAAATAACTTAATATACAGAGTGTTGCATTGAAAACAGTAGCAAGGAGTTCATGTTTGTAAAAATCTATTCGTACGTAAGTTACTTGGTATGAAGGAACACTTTATTTGGCATAGATATCTTTTGCGTTAAAATAACGGAAGAGAATTCAATGTTAATAATTTTTTTAAACGAAATATTATATTTTTTTTCATTTATAGTATGATGTATTATTGTTGTTGTATTCTTCAATACCCAAACATGATTAACAATCAATATAGAGTAATATTCTAAACTATCAGCTAAGAATTTGCAACATTATACGAATTTTTTCAATATACATAAATACTAAATCAATTCAATGCTATTCTACAATAATCTGCCTATTATCCAATACATCTAATCGTATTCGTCTAATTCTCCAATGCAAAATGTCATTAAATGTATATATTAATTATTACTGATTGTTATCCTTGAGTTTTCAATGTTAAATTCTTTAAAACAATACAATACATTTTAAATAGATAGAAGAGAACAACAAAGTGTATTTCCACAATTACAATATATACGTGCTGAACAAAATGTAAACTGTAATAAATAAAACTTTGTACCTATTAAAATATATTACTGTAGAAATGAGGTTTGCTTATGTTCAAGAGGACAATAATACTTAATCATACTGACACTCGAGGCAGATAAAACGGTTCAACATTCGACACGATGACTGCAACATGGATTCTATATCCTCTTATAACTGCACATTCGAAGACAATCACGTGTAAGATTTCTAACTACAGTTCTTTTCCAAATGACCGCATTGCAATTCTAACGACAAAGTAATCAATATGTCACTAACTGCTACTACTATGTTCGATACCGGATGTGACAATCACAGTCTCTTTGAAGTATACATAACACATGACTGATACTTTTCAGATCTGTTTCTGCCATCTACTATTACTTGTATTTTACGCGGAAAACTTTGATGATGCTCCTATTCATTAACACTCGATTGTCTTGGAGAGATAAAAGGAAGAATATCACTTCGAATCACATTGGCTAGCCAGAGTGTCAAGATCGAGGAAAAGGATCGTCATGTGTACGGCACAGTACTCGGACATTTCTGTTACATTGTCGCAATTTATGCTGAAAGTTGTAGGGATCTGGATGTCCGCAAATGATGCCGAAAAACGTCAAAGAAAATTCGCTATGGCGTACACAATCGGCTTGCATATTTTCTCCTTGTATATAAATCTCACTGATATTTACTACAGCTGGGGCGATTTTGACGTGAGTATTAAACCATTGTTAATTTTACACAAAGAGATTATTATGATATTTATTGCAAGTTCTATATATACATACTACCGTGTACAAATAATTGGACATCTAGTATAGTCTCATTAAAAGTTGACGTTTCTGTTATCTTTCTACAAATGACGAACACTTTTCTACCATTTATTTATTGTATTTTATCGCAAATGAGTGGGGTCAAGTAATTTGAAGAAATTTAACGTAGATAAGATTTAACGTAGAGAAGATATAGTGATATATTAATAAAACTTCGATAACTGATTGATATAATTATAAATACTTTAAAAACTAGTAAACTCTTGGTATCCGCAAATTTAATATCCGCCATTTTACTAATTAATTATTTATTTGTTTTAATTGTTTTATTTGGTTAAATAAGAATTCTTCGGCGTACACAGATTAAAACTGTTCTATAGAGAATATCGACTAATACATCAAAGAATACATCATTTAGAAAATTGAAGGTAATCTTTACAGCTCAATAAAAAAAGCAAAGTACAAAATTATAATAATTATAGTATCACATGCCTCCTTGAAAACTTTGAAACTTTTATCTTTTTGTACATGTAATGAGACTCACCCTATATGTATGGTATATACGTATGTACGTTCTTCAACTTTATTTTTTCAGTATTGCATTTACGTGATATCCACTCTTTTATGCATCGCTCTGTCATTTTTTAAAATTATGATACTATACATCCTCAAAACGGAGTACCAGAATATAATTTTATATGCACAGAAGAACTTTTGGCATCTCAAGTACAAAGGCAACGATAAGATACTTTTCATGGAATGTCGAAAGTTTTGCAAACTATGGGCCATAACCGTGTGCTTCTTTATGCAAGCGAGTGTGTCTTTCTACATAATTACACCGCTATGTGGTAAGCGAAACAAATTATATTCCACAAAAGATACTAAAGAAGTTAAAGTATACGACAAATGACATTTAATTGTAAATACTCGAGACACTATGAGATATTTTGTCACTGACTTGCAAAGTATTGTTATTACGCGATTATTAGATTATAAGATTATTGCAAAGTAAGGTATCTCATTTACGGTATCGCATATTATAAACAGCGACACTATGAAGAGAGACACCTCGCCCCTGATAACAAAGAGACTAATCGAAAAATAATCAATGAATTTCTTTCTTTTTACGAAGAGCAGTTTGTTAAATAACTGTAAATCTTTATCGAATAACATTCTGAAAAATTAATACAGGAAAATCGTTTCTATCTTTAATCGTTAATTTAGCGATCCAAAGTGAAACAACAAAGTACTTCATTCTTCATTCTGCCCGTCAAAATCATCACCTCTTAAATTAAATTAAAGATTAAATACTATCAAAAACACGCCCAAATTAGAATATATGATTCACAAAAACTATAGGAAGAAACGTATACACCAATGTATGGTTTTCAGCTAACTATGGAAAAAACAAATCAGAGAGGATACTTCCGTTTCAAATGTGGCTCGATATACCGATGAGTATGACACCGTATTATGAAATACTGTTCACCATTCAGGTATACTAAATTTTCATCGATACACGTACGCAACGTATGTAAACACGTGTATTTAATATCGATGATAGTGATTCGTAATCGATGATAGTGATTCGTAATTAATCAAATAATCAAATAATTACGTACATATAATGATTAAGATGAATCCCAATTCACGTAGGTAATATCAACACAACAAGTCGGTATGAGCTTTATATGCAATGACAGCTTCTTGTGCATACTGAATACACACGTGGCATACCAATTTCGTATGCTCCAGTACAGGATTTGTAATTTATGGAAATTCATCGTCGAACAAAAGGATAAAATAGATTATACCGAGAAATACTACACAGCATTGAAGGAATGCATCAGGCAGCATCAATTATTGATCAAATTTTGCGACAAGCTCCAGAAGGTTTATACATTACCAATTCTCGCCCATGTAATAGTTTTCAGTCTGTTAATGTGCATCGAAGCATACGAGATATTCCTGGTACGTTTAAACAATGGTCTCGTTTTTAAACACAGTAGAATTCAATTGAAACACGAAATTTGTTGACATTAATACTACAATATTAACTCATTTAAATATAAAACATAACCATTGTTGTATTATGAATATAGACAGACGTAGCTGTAACAACGCGCCTCACTTTTATATTCACCGTGATTGGTAACTTTATCCACATAGTTTTCTTCACGTATAGTTGTCACGGATTAATAGAGGAAAGTACAAACGTAGGCTCAGCAACGTATTCAAGCTGGTGGACGATCTTACCAATGACTGAAGCTGGCAAAATGATACGAAAGGATGTGAATTTAATGATGATGAAATCGATACGACCGTGTTGTCTGTCCGCCGGTGGATTCTTTCCAGTGTCTTTGGAAACATCTACTGCAGTACGTAATCTAATTTGTAAATTTCAAACATTCAAAGAAACAATGACGGTCTTAAATATTTCATAAATACTGATTTATTTATTAGTTAATGCTAAGCTGATTTTTAAGACACTACTTCCTATTTATATTGTAAATACATTTATTATATTTATCAAAATTAATAAATTTTAAGAGTACACTTAAGTGGATATCAAATTCTTGTTACAGCTTCTGAGCTCGACATTTTCATACTTCACACTTATAAGGGAATCATCCTTGCGGATTGAGGGAAATTAAGTCACGATATGTACGTGGAATGAAAATATCTTATCTTTGACGTTTACAAACACTCTTAGTACTTATATTTTGGTAACTATAAAACTATTAGTTAATTAAACGATTGAATTATGAGGTAGAATTTTTTATAGAAGATGTGACGCTACAACACTTTCATCAATATTAATATAAGTGTAATCTAATTTTCATACACTCCAACACACCGATTGTCATAAATAACACCATTGTTTTCCGTATTAATTATTTGTTAAAATCGCCTCTAAATATTCTAAGTAACGTAATTTTCTACGAAACAGCAAGTATAAAAAGAATTTTTCGTTTACACTTTTGTATTTATACTAACATATAAATAGCAGAGGCTTCATTGTTCCTGCTGTTAGAACAGATTTTCATCAATCAAACAAGAAATAAACTCGCGACTGTCGAAGTAGATCAAGTGTACTGTACTGTCTTTTCTTTCTTTTTTTTTTTTTTCTCTTTGACAAAATTATAAAAATCTATTAAGTTACAAAGTCTGCACAGTCGGCAAAGTTTTAACAAATTTTATTCTTTCATCTACGGTCAAAGTAATCAGATTGTTGATAATCATCAAATTTTCCCATATTTTTTAAATATTTTTCAGAGAATAAAACTATCGAAATATTACGTATACCTACATCAATGTTCCCCCTGATGAATCACCGTTCCTATAAAATAATACAAAATTTATCGATCCGA